CAAAAGGCCAACAGTTTCATGGAGACATGCTCAACATCACTAGTCATTAGGGAAATGCAAATTAAAATCACGATGAGGTATCTCGTCTCGCCTGTTAGAATGGCCATCATCAAAAACAAACAACAGATGACGAACGCTGGCAGGGATGTGGAGAAAAGGGAAGCCTTGAACAGTGTTGGTGGGAATGTAAATTGGTGCCGACATTATGGAAATTAGTATGGAGTTCCCTTAAAAATATTAAAAATAAAACTACCCTATGATCCAGCAATTCCACTTCTGGGCATACATTCAAAGGGGGAAAAAAAAACAGTATCTCAAAAAGATATCTGCACCCTCTTGTTCACAGCAGCATATTTTACAATAATCTAGAGCCACAATTTTCAACCTTTGCAACTCTGTTATATGACCTATATATTTATGGTTCAAGACAGGGCATTCGCACCACACAGCTATTGTTGGGTTGGCTGTTGTCATTCGTTTTAGTGGACAGTCCAAGGGAAAAGAGGTCAGTGCTCTTGACTAAATCGTCAAGGATTGCATGTTTTAAAACGTCTCACGGCACACTGGTTGAAAATTGCTGATCTAGATTTTAGAGCATTGTTTTGCTTTATAAAAACTTTTATAAACAGATCTGGGGGGAAATGACAGAGCTTGTACTGGCATACAAAGAAGTCAGACCTTAAAAGGCTTTTTTGGAGGTGATAAAATGAATGGTATTTATAGCTGCATTTATTACATGGCAGTCACATTCTGATGGCATGGTATGTTCATCAGGTTTAACAGAAACCACAAATTTCCATATTATTAAGTAAAGAAATTTTAAAAATAGAATTTCAGGAAACAATTCTGGATACCCCAGCCATTCCTAGATCCCCGGGTTTTTTTTTTCTTTTAATCCTTACCTTAGGACATTTTTCTATTGCTTTTAGAGAAAGAGAGAGGAGAGAGAGGGAGAGCAAGAATCAACCGGTTGCCTCCTGGGGACTGAACCCACCACCTAGGCGTGTGCCCTGAACAGGGGCAGCACCTGCTACCCTTTGGTTTGTGGGATGATGCTCCAACTTTATGAGCCACCCCCACCAGGGCATGGATCCTACTGTTTTTGTAATTCATGCCCGGTTTAGTAGTGCTGGTTATGCATAGCTCATTTAGAAAGACATGGATTTTAGAAATAAATTTTTTTTCTTTACAAAAACACATGGTTTCTGAACCAAGGACAGAGTTAAGCTGAAGGCAAAGTGTTTGGATTCTGACCGATGCCTTAGCCTATCTCTTTAATGAAATGATATATTGGTTGGCACCCAAGATTGCTTTCCATTTTAAAATCCTGAATTTTAAGAAACATCAGACTGATAACTGTTTTACTATTCACTTGTCGTTTTTTCTAGACCTCATGGGATCACCTCCTATATATATTTGCAAGATTGAAACCTATGACATTAATTCCGCATCCAAAGGGCACACTGCAGGATGTTAATAGGTAAGAAGCACAAGGTTCTGTGGCTAAGCGCTTTAGGAAAACAGAGTGATATACAGTTATGAGGTTGTTTTACTTCAGGATTTCTCAAAGCTTTTAATATATTCTTGCGCATTGTCAATCTCTAAGGGCATTGGGGCGTGCAGTGTTTCTCAAAACTATTGAACCAGGGAATTCTTTTATTGGGGAAATAGTGCTACATCCACTGCATTTTAAGTGATCACTGTGGTATCTTCTTAGGACTCTTAACATCGCCAATGAGCACACTGAAATACCACAGTCATGCTTTGGGAATGTGGTTCTGTAGGTGATGGCTAATTCCATACATTTTTTTTTCTATAACTGTAGTCCTGTATTTGGGCACACATGCTGTGGGGATCTGAAGTGTACTGAATGCTCCTATTGGGGGCTACTAACTAACCTTCCTTCCAGCTTCATCCTGTTGCTGTAACCACTTGCTTATCGTTGGGCTCCTCCATCAGGCTAGCGCTCCCCTTGCCCCACACCCACCCACAGGGATTCGTTCCCTTTCTCTGTTCTCAGCGACAAACACTGCCTCACACATCCCGGACCCCTGGACATTTTGTTGTCCACGAAGTTATGGCCACTCGATTTCAAATCAAGGCAGGATTTTGGTTCATGGTTTACATCTTCCAGTTAATCCTAAGACCCCATTTAACTTTTTAATTGTATTAGTTCCTCATTGACATTTTGGGGATCTGGTGTCCAGTACGCATTTCGTTCTGTGCTAAGCAACATCTTATACTAGGCATCATTGACGATATACACCTGCTTGGTGAAGGTGGAAGGGAAATGAGAACAGGATACAGGAGGATCGTGTGGGGCGGGAGAGCTTTTACTCCTCTCCTCACGGGAGTTCTGAGAGCACGTGCGGTTGTCCAAGTTCCCACGGGGTAAACATGGCTTGCGAGATGCGGAGAGTAATGGATGAGCCCGTTCTAGATTCTGACAGGCTCACTGAGGTCAGATTCCCACCAGCTTGACTCAGTTCTTTCCAACAGTTCTGCAATGTCATTTTATAAGAAACAAATAATTGATTTGAGTAAAAATCAATACTTTAATGCTTCTGGAAAATGGTCTTTAAAAAGTAGTATCAGGAACTAATTGTAATTGCACACCACAGCAGCCTGGGAACGCTTCTCATTTAATTACAAATTCAACATTTGTACTTTCTGGACTGAAGACAGAGCAAGGCTGAGGGCAAATTGTCAATTAACTTAGCCTTTTTAGTATTTTTATTTTTTTTAAAGATTTTATTTATTTATTGAGAGGGAGGGAGAGAGAGAGAGAGAAACATCAATGTGCAGTTGCTGAGGGCCTTGGCCTGCAACCCAGGCATGTGCCCTGACTGGGAAGCGAACCTGCGCTCAATGCACTGAGCTACACCAGCCAGGGCAGTATTTTTATTTTTAAAAAATATGGAATGCTTCATGAATTTGCCCGCATTCAAAATTCAAAACAGTACCCCAAAAGTAAGCTGTCTGCGAAAGAATAACGGAACCCATGCATACACCACATCTATTCTAAACTACGAAAACTGTGTCACCAGTTGGAATGCCCACGCAGTGAAAGATTAGTAGCAAGTGGGTAAGTTTATACAAAGTGCAAATAAATTGCATATTTCTAAACAAATGCTTGGAACGGATTATCACTGTGCCTGCTCATTCGGTCAAAGTGAAGAACCTCCCACATATTAATTATTGTGTTCTTCTGACTGAAGATTAACAATTCAGTTTGAAGAAATTTCACCTGAGCCATTTATACTAATATCCCCTTTGTTCCATTTCTCATCTTAGATTTTTTTCTCTTCTAATTTTATTCAGTCTTGAGGCCTTCCTCTCATAGGATTTTGGGCAGACACGTGCTAAATTTCCCTCCCTGTGTTTCTGACATTGGATTTTTAACCTGGGATGACGGGGCTGATCTTTTGGACCTTTGTGTTAAAAGACAGTCTTACAAAAAGGCTACTTCTTTCCCATTCCATTGAGGCAATGAACACGATGCCCAAGGAAATGGATGCTTTAGTATTTTGGCCAATGTTCTCTCCTTTGCCTACATTGTTTATACGGTAAAACCTGAGGGCCCCTCTTTGAAGCCACACCCCAAGTCCTGCGTATCTGCAGCCTCTCTCACAAGAGAGATGGAATCGATGCTTTGACCCATGGAATTCGTAGAAGCGACAGTGTGCCAGTTCTCAGGAAAGCCCCCCTTTGCACACACGCACACGTCTGCAATTGCTTGAGAACGTGCCCAGTGAGCTTGCTAGGGATGAGAGGACCCCAGTGGCGTTTCCACAGTCCCCCCAGGCTAGCCATCCCACCCCACTCAACAGTCAATCAACCCCAGGCAAGTGAGCAAGTCCAGCTGCAATCAGAAGGGTCCTGCCCGGATCAGCTGAGTCTCACAGCCCATGAGCTAAATACATGCTTATTACTGAAGCGGAATAGCTGCCACACTGCTTACTGTGGCAACAGAAAATGATGACCACGGGCAGAGGACATGACATCATTATGACTGGCCCCCGCCCCCTCGCACCAAGCTCACTCTTGTCACTTAACTGACCTTACAGAAACACAGGCTGAGACTGTACAGCACTGAAGAGTTTGGACCCTACTGACAGAGTTCGGTGGTGTGGCGTTGGGGGTGTTTTATTGTGTTTTCATTGAATTTGCAACTAATGGATCATGAAGGGCCTCTGTAAAACTTGGTCTACTGAAAGAGTAGAGTGGGAGGGGGAGATACCCAGGAGCACGCTGCCTTCATATGTATAAACGACCCCACTGACTGAAGCAACAAGCTGTAGACTTAGCAGAAAAACCAAACTTTTCCATGTGTTCTCATTTCCATTTTTAAATACCTACTCAACAGCTTGCTGGAAAGCAACCATTGTTTCCTCAGGAATGCTTGATGTGACTGTTACTTTGGGTTAGACAGGATGTTTAAAATGCATGTGCATTCAAATGTATCAATTTTCTCTATTTTAACAAATTATATATTTTGGGATTTTTCTATTTCATGGATAGCTTCTACATTTAGAACCAAGTAACATGATTCTTGACACTATTTCTTATAGGATGGCTTTAGAAATAGATTAAATTTACCACCAGAGCGGTTAAAATCCAGTGCACATATGAAAAGCACATTATTTAAGAGCATGAGGCTGAAAGTGGATTTGAAAAGGTAATCACCGAAGCTATTAAAACCAAATCTGAATAGGTTCAGGTACATTTTCAACATCCAACATTATTTTTTCCTCTTGATAAAGCCTTTCATCTGTGAAGGAAAATGAGGATTATATATAAAAGAGAAGAGAAGAACACAGAGAAATAAGGAGACAATGAGAGCGAGATAGAATGAATTGGTGTGTACGGGAGAAATTGGTGTGTGCAGGAAAACAAGTGGACTGATCAAGAACAGGCTCTCTTTATATTTTACTTCCATAAATGTGCATCCGAGCCTCAGTTTCTATCAGTGAACAGAGCTGAAGAATATCAAAGTCATCTTGTGTTAAAATTACTTTTATTCAGGATGAAAAATACATGAACCCAGATTAGGTGATAGTCTAGGATTAGTTCTTGACCACATATTTCAAAAGAACTACATACTTATTTTCCCTTGTTGTTGCTGCAATATATTTCTTTTTCTTTATTATTACTTAGGAGATTACAATGTAGTGTTTTTATGTAGCTTTTCCATAATAGCAGATAGGGGGTGTGTTGCACACAATTACAGGCAGAAAAAAAATACTAATACAGAACTTTTCAAAGAACAAGGAAGACACCAAATCTACAACTTGTAGTTGAGAGTTCAGGGAATTTTTTTTTCTTTAAATAGGTGCTTTTCTTGTCTGATGTGGCCCGATAAAAGCTCTGGATTTTGCAGACTGTAGCGGCACAAAGCTATTTCCGACACGACGGATGAAGACGGGTCTGAGGTAGAAAGGCGGTCATGGCTTTCCTCTCATATAAAACGATTTTCTTCTTCTCAAAATATCTATGCTGCAAAGAGACACCCCTGCCCCCCAACCCACCCGGCCTATTCTGAAAGAATAGGGATTTCTAACTTTAAGCCTCCTTCTGGACAGATCCCAGGTAAAGAGAACCCAAAGTTAAAATGTCCTGCTTTAAAAGCACATGTGCTTGAATCAAAATACATTATTTTAACTTTCTTTTTGTTTTTTGTACATTTAGTAGCTATATAGCATGTTTAAACTGAATGAATTCAATGCTAAACCAGAAGCTGAACCAAATGCCTAGTAGAATGCATTCAAAGTTAGGCAGGGCGCCGCCATCGAAGCATTGACCTCATTCTCCTGCAGAAGCAGTGGCACAGGCCTTTGATAAACATTCTTCCCGAATGTACGGATCACAGGAAGGATAATAACACATGTGCTCATTCACCCAAAAGGTAAAATGAGACATGCACTAAATTTGTGTCTGCTTTCCGAAAGAAAATAATGAGGAGTTTCAAGAATGATAAGGGGCTTAAACATACATAAACAACAAAAAAATTCTCGTCGAAGGGAACCAAAACCCGTAACACGTTCTGGCATCACAACTGGGCGAAGGCCCGCTGCATGTCTGTGACGGAAACCAAGACCCGGGAAACGGGGAAGGTGGGGCCGAGCGCTGCTGCTGTGTCGATGAGGGAATCTGCTCAAACGGGCAACCTTTGGTCAAGTGATCTGTGAGACTCTCACAATTCCGCTTTAAGCCTCCTCTGTCATATCAACTGGGACATGGAATAAATAAAGAAATCAAGAGCTACTTCTATAGAGCAGAGAAATACAATGCAGGAAAAAATTCCCAGTGGGGATGCCAGTTAGGCCCACAGGGTTGTTGCTGTGGCCCTCCGAGTGGTTGCTAAAACAAGTCAAGTGCACGGTGTCAAATAAAGTTGAACGGTGTCCGCAGAGCTGTAGCCTAATCCGTACACGTACACTACAACTGACTGAAGCACACGAACTTATTAATCGGCCAAATCATGGCAACAAACAGAGGAAATCCGTTTCGTCATGTGGGTGACGAGTGATAAATAACCAAAACATAATGGTCAAAAAGCTGAAGAAATAAAGGAAGTTATTGTACAAGGTTAATATAAAGGAATGTAAAACTGTCTTCTAATTCTTACGCCATGTTTGCCACGGTTATTAAAAACAAAATGTCACTTTAGAAAGCCCCCCCCCCACTCTCCCAATGCTGTAAGCAGTATACAAATCAGTGACAAATGCATTACCATTTCCAAATACCACTCTGTTCATTAATTTACAGTTGCATAGAAAGGGAAGAAGGAAACAATAACATGTGACTATTATAAAAACAAAAATATCCTTTTCTCTTTGGATAGTCAGTGTTTCAACCCTTCAGTAGAACACACGGCCGGCGCTCAACAGCGTGTCTCGGGGAGCCGGGGAGCTTCTGATGAGATGGAGCCCGGGGTTGGCATTTGCTGGCGACGGCAATGCTGAAAGTCAGGAAACGTTTGCTGGCTAGATGAACACTTCACATTGCCTACGGGAAGGGAAAATAAAACCGCGCTGTCAGAACAACATTTACATAAATCATTACAGGTAGCGGAGACCTGTCAACTCTGCAAGGAAATAAAAGTGCTTCTTTCAGAGCTAAAACCCTATTTTACTACGCTCGCAGGGGACCCTTTACTCCCAGGTGACTTTCGCTCCCTGAGATGAAGTCCTTTCCTGTCATCCCCAAGTCACCTCGTCTGCTCTTTATCACGGCAGCCAATACAGAGGAAGGCTGGAAGGCTTTTCTCTGGCCCACGCTGGAAAGCAAATTAACATGGAGGGGCCTTGTCTTTTTCTTGCTGGAGGTACCCAAGGTGAGTGAGCGAGGCTGGGCAAGCACCCCATCTCTCCCTGGGAGCTGTGGGAGGTCTCTTGCAGACGGGGTACTCTTGACAAGTCTAATGCATCCGAGTCCCCAATGAGGGTCCAGACGACAGGAACCTCAGACAGATACACCGCCCAAAAGTGTGCAGTGGTGCCCACTAAAGGCTTGGGGCCCATATACACAGGTAAGAGAGGCTGAAAGTCTGGGCTACACTCAAGGGAGCAGCATCAGCCTTTTGAAGGAAAGGTCAAACAGGTGGTCTTCTAAAAACATTAAGAAGTTGGAATTGTTTTCAGCCACCCTAAAAGGAAATAACCCAAAACTGGGGCCACACCACCTGAATCACAAGAGGCCTATCAGGGACTAGCTGAAAAGACACGCCTTCTCCACTTGCCCCTCATTTTACAGAGGACTTTGGGGTGAAGGCTTGTGCATCTCTGAAACTCAGTGCTCAGCACAGTGTCTGGGAGAGATGACCAAGGGACCCCTTCTGCTCCGGGCTGAGTCAGACAGAAGCAGCAACCTCATCTGGACTCCCTCCTCCAGCTTACTGTCTCATGACTATCGAGATTTAGAGTCTTCAGAAACTCGCTTCTTCATTTCACTGCCATGTTCGAGGGAGCCAAAATTCAGCAGACATGGGCGGCGGGCCCCCGGGATGTGTGGGGCTCCCGGGGACGGAGGTGAGGCCCTCCACCTGAAGCAGGTGTGCGAGACCCCACACAGCACACTCTCGCTCAACGCTCACGTGAGGTGTGTGCCACCCACAGAAAGTTTCAGGGACTTTGGGAACAGAGAAGGGAAGAAATTAATTCTCCCCAGGAAAGGAACATGTTGTTCCATATTAACTAAAACCCTTGGTGCTGATTCACATTGAAATAATGGCCAGAAGGATTTGTTTTATTATTTATATATACTTTATTATCCCTGTTTACAATGGAATAAGTGTCTACTAAAGAGGGGCACACAAATCTCATGTTAGCGCACGGAATTCTAAAAGTTTAAGTCTATGCAATGTAAATATTAGCACAATTGCGCGGGTGGAAACATACACCAAGGTACGGAAAACGAGGGGAAGAGGAGGAAAGTGCTGACAGGGAAAGGGAAGGGATGCGGAGGGAAGGGAGAAGGAAGGAAAGGGTCCCCTGGAATGAGTGAAGTTTGTGCTTCATCCACCAAATCGATTCATCAACCAGGAACATTTGAACGAACTCTTTTACAGCTCAATTTCCTAAAAACTAGAACAAAGTCAAAACAGAAAGTCTCTAAAAGTCACTTTCAGCTTTAAATTGTGATCCCTTTTATTACTATAAAGTATTTGAGGACTTCAAAGAAGAGTCTCTCTCCCCTTCCTGAGCCCCATTCCTCACAGCCTTGACCTCACCTTGAGAGCCTGAGGATTCACCTCATCATGTTCTTTTCCTTTTTAATGATGGGCCGCCATGACATGCTCCAGACTGCTCGTCTCCTTTCATCTCCTGTGCCCTGTTCCATATAGAGATCTGCCCATCCCTTACCCTGTCCCCATGTCCCACCCTCTGTAATTCTGGGAACCCGTTCCATGTGCCCTCTGTAGACCACACGGCCCACCCTCACTAAAACCCATGGCCTCCCCCTCTGCTCTGAAAGCCTATTTCCCTTGCTCACTCTATCAATACCTGCATCTGCCCCGAAGACACAGCTTCCCCCACAACCCTCTCACTCACGTATGAATGGTTTTTAATCTCCCACAATCCTCACACATTGGCTAAGTCCATCCTAGGTCCTACTTGTGTTTTTCAGGGCATTTCTTCTCTCTCATCCCTAAAAACACCCAGCTTTGGGTGTCATGCCTTCAGACTACACCACCACTATGCAGCCACCTTCTGACCCCCGGGGTCAATGCTCCCTTACTTCTTGAAGAATAAATGGCTCACTGTCACCAATTTTAAAGCTTTTTTAGAATCTTAATGATTTCAACACCCACATGGATGATTCTTCCAACACTCTGTCCTCTTGGTTCCTTGCGGTTCTCATCTCCAATAAACTTGTTCTCCACCCTTCTTTGCCACTTACTCAGAGTTCCAAATACGGACCGTTACCAATACCTGCAACCCCCCCCAACATTTCAATTTCAATTTCAGTCATCCCACCTTCTGACAACCTCTTCTACCTTTCCAGCTGACTCCCACTAGGACCCAGCGTCATCCATCCTTGGATACTACAGCGCATTGATTCTCCCACGGTTTTCGTGCCTCCAACACCTAAGGGCACCCTCGCTCCTCTCCCTGCCAACCTTAGGTGCCTGGTTCGATCATCATCATCACTCCTTTGACTGTTCCTTTGAATTTCATTATGTCCTCTCTTGGACAAAACCAGAACTTCAACTTTGGTCAACTGCAATCCTCAGCCTACTCTGATGTCTGTGTTCATGAACTTGAAGGTGGCCAGAGAGCAAGCAACATACAGTTCCACACCAGTCTCACATTATATTCACCAACAGGCATCTTGGTGTCCTTGAATGCAGTGGGACAGTTAGTCAGACTCCATTCCTGGGCCGGTGTGCTTTCCTGATCTCCAGTCTTATCTCACACCTCTGGCACCCCCTCCCACCCTCACTCTTTTCAGGGTCCCAAGTCCTGGCTGCTGGTTCACGGAGACAACAGGAGCAAGCAGAAGAGGAATTTTGCTCCCTGGGGTGAGGTCCTTTTGTCTCACAAGTTCTCACACCACATCCACTTATTTCTTTTATGTTCTTTGTCTTTCCTCAGGTCCCTAAAGACGATCCCAGCCCTTCTTGCCAATAGGTAAGACAATCAGAAGAAGTTTCGATGTTTAAAGAAAATTAATAACAAAGTTCATGGGAGAAAATGTTCTCTCAAGATCTGTGGTCTTATGGCACATTATTACTAAGAGTGTCTGATAAAGAAACTACTGAAAGGTATACGGCCATGGATTTTTAAATGAAAAGTCAAGACCCCACCCTACCCCCAACATAACAAAACCACCTTTGTACATTGCTCTAGTCACTGTTTTTAAGTCAAAGGCTGTGGCAGCCACCTCATGCAGATATCTGGGAGAAGAGTGGTCAGCCAAACCTACCCAGGCTAACTTCACACAGCATATATGAGGCTGTTAAAAAGCAATTAGAGCACAGATGATCAAGCACTGGGTATCTGGGGCATCTGGGAGAACTGCCTTGGTATGGGTTCTCCCTCCCCAGATTGTAAGCTATTGTACTGAATCAACTAACGTTTGAATGTCAAGCAAGTTTACTTATTTATATGGGACTAAAGCAGCACTAAATCTGATAGTAGCTAACCTGCTTATTCTACACTGTAATCAACACATAAGCCAACCAACCTGAAGACTTACAGGAACTTTAATACCACTGTGGCCCCACTTTGGATTTTGGCAGCTTGAACCCTGAGGCTGCTGACAGGGCGTGACTCTCTGCTCCTTGGACTTGGAAACCGCCCGAGGAACCAAGGGCCTCCCTGTCTGATTTCGGTCGGGAGGTCACCCTGGAGACTTAGTTCTGCAGGCCTGAACCAGAACCGGGACTTTGACAAATGCCCAGTCATATGCTACTGGTTGATCTCCTGTGAGAGTCCCACTTGCTGACCACTGAATCAGGTGACCAAATAAATGCCCCACCAATCAGAAAACGAACAGTGTAAGTCTGTGGTCTTGTTTCCCGTAGCATCCCATCTCGCTGACTGCCAGCTCCTTGCAAACTCTGCCTTTGCAAACTCTGCCTTTAAAACTTTGCCCATCTCCTTTATTTTGTGACATGTCTTAGGTTCAGACAGAGGGCTACTGACGTCCCTGATTTGAAATCATATATGAATAAAATTCTCTTTTGATATGTTAAAATTTTTGTTAACAAAACAATGAATGAAATCTTACCTGTGGCCTGCTGGGGAGATTTGCTGAAAGAGAAAACAAAAGAAATAAATTTAAGGTGGTACAGCGGTTTGGCAGGTTCCCCCTCTCAGGCATGTAAAGGTGAGCCATTGCCAGCATATTAAATAGATGCTAATAAGAAACAAGGTTTCTTGGTTTTGGGTTTTTTGCTTTTTGCTTTTTGTGTTTTGTGGTTGTTTTTTTTTTTTGGCTGGATGCTCTAAGATACAGAAATTCCACCCCAATATGTGAAGCATACACTAGCTCTGTCAAAAAGCATGCACTGAAGCATTCAGTGAGTACTTAGCTTTGCAAAAAAAAATCTCAAAATTTCTCGTTGAAAACTTGCCATGTATTTGGTTCATGTACCAGAACAGAGCAAATTCTGTGTATTTTGCCGAAGAGTACCAATTCTGGCCAAGGAGGCATTAGGGAAATGGAGGTGCACGAGTCTTTCATTGCTGCCACCCTAGCCCCGAAGTCCGGGAAGATGGTGGCAGTGTGCTCACATCGAGGAAAGGGCTGGCCCGGTCCTCGGCTGTCTTCGAGGAACGTGGCTAACACTTGTGCCTTAGATGGCCCCAGTTAAGAGCCCTGGAGAAGTTAGGCTGGTGTCTAATCCACCTCCGCCTCTGACCTGCCGCTCAGTCCCTTCCTGTCCCAGAGAGCCCTGACGGACAGTGCGGCTGCTCTGGTGGGCGCTTCGAGGGCAGCCACTAGCAACACTCTCCCCCGAGGCCTCTGCTTTTTTCTCTCCCCCTTTCCCTGACCAATCTCCTAATCATCCTCTCACACGCAACGCTGCTGGGGAGGGGGAGCCCCGCCCCTCCAATGATGGTCCCATCTGCCCTGGGTCAAAGGAGGACTGCCCCTCATCACCCAGCACGCTTCAGTCCTTCCCCCCTCTCATTTTTCTGTGCTTAGGGAAGAAACAGAAGATAGTCATGGCCACATGGTGAGTGCTAGCAGCTTTGTGCGGAAAAGGAGCAAATGAGAAGGAAGACCTTCTTATGATGCCTGGAGGGAAAGCGCGAGCCCCAGTAGTCTTTGGGGGGAGAATTGGGCTCACCCCAGCCCAGTTACAGCAGGAAGTGACAAGAGGAAGAAAACCAGGGGACCGCCTCACACACACACACACACACACACACACACACGACCCATGCCTGAGGGACAGCTGAGGTACAACAGGGGGAGCTATGCTACCCTTCCAAGTAACAAATAACCACACCAAAACAGAAATCGAATCAATCTTGCATCAAACCTACATTTAAAACCCAACTTTTTATCAAATAAAAGGCTATGGGTACTCCCCTTAACAAATCATACAAATACATTTTTTAAATAAATCATAAATCATTGCATTTTTGTATGTTTTGAGTTTTTGATAAATGTCACTCAAGTTTAATAAACATAGGCAATTCATGTAAAAATATGCCCGTAGATGAAAAAATAACTTTAAAAGCATTTGATGCTTTAAAAGCAAAAAAATACTCATCTTACTACTAGTATCCCATATATTTAGATGACATAAATGAAAAAAACTGACAAAACATTTTACACTAAAAGTTACATCAGTTAGTGGAAATTTTAGTATGTACACTGGTTAATAAGCAACAGAATTAAAAGCCTTTCATTAACTCCTTGAGAGAAAGAGATGGAAACACCTGCCTCTTTGCTCTGAAACTTAAAGGAAATAATCAAAAGAAGACTTTAAAAGGCCATAATTCAAGGATGCTACCAGGACCAACTGGGATATTAACTCAAGATAGAGGAATTCTGAAATGTTATATGCAACAATACATGGATACAGTAAAAAAAAAAAAAAGCCATGTTTAAGTAGGCAATTCATGTAATTAGGATTTATGAATGCAGTTCCATTTTAATTCCAAGACTGTCAGGAGTAGAACTGTACTCATGACTATGCTAATTGTTAATTCATAAAGGATCAAAAGTCAAGATTAACATGTAGATCAATTCATTGTGTGCTACTGACAAGCAATTTTAAAGTCCTTATTAGTTACAGGGGCTCATGAGATTGGCTTGGCACTGGAGGCTGCCAAGCTGATTTGCTTAGAAAAATTCTTCAAATGCGGTCAGCAAGCTTTGGGAATTTGAAGGCTTATTAAAATATTTGCTAGCTGAGCAACTTAACAGAGACAGCAAAGCAAATGAATCCTACAGAACCTGTGAATACTATCTGCGGAAACTTCAATAACTTAACATTCCCAGTGGGAAAATGTAATCCATCCATCCATCCATCCATCCAACTCAGAAACATGTATTGGACACCAAGTCTGAGTTAGGTGACTCAGTATTTCTATTCTGCATCAATTTTTAAAAGGCTTAATAACCTTAGGTAGAGTTTTAAAAATATGTTATCAGTTTTACAAATAAGTCAATTTTTATTTTTTATGTAGAGCTATTCCTATCTTAGAAATTTTTACATTATCAAAGCAAAATACAGAATATAAATACCAAGAAGAGCAAACTAAAACCAAACTAACAGCAGAAACCACACATAATAAAATTTAAATTTCAAAGGATTCTAAAATACACTATTTATCATTTCTTACAAGGGATGCACTTGAGCTCATCAAAAAAAACCCACAGGATCAGTAATAATGTTCATCCACAGAAAACGACACATAACACAGATTGTAAGTACGTGCGAAGGCACAAGTTTAAGACCATGAGAAAGTGGAGCCAGGGTCCCAGGAACAAACCTCGAGGCCCCGTGTCCCACTCTCACGGCGCGGAATAGTGCAGGTGGAGATGGCATCTGTGCAAAGGGGGGCTTAACCTGTTATGTGGGTCCCGCTGAAGATACACACCCTCCTCAGGAACCGAAAATATCTATTACTAGCTGATAAGATTAGATCGATAGAAATTTTATACTTGCCTTTAAGGAGATCATAAATCGAGAAGAACACACTCACCTCTTAAGATTAATTTTTGCCCTATAATTAAGATTACTACTTATGTTTAATTACATACTGTTCTAAATTATGATAAGGATCAGTCTTTTACAATATCAAGATATAAGAATATACTGTGAAAAAACTAAGAGTAACTGCTTCAAAATACAAACTTTCAAAAAGTCATTATGAATTTTTGGTATAAAATTTTCATTATGGAAATTATACATTTTTATATCCATTGGTAAAGCATAAATTTAATCATCTCCCATCCTAGTGCTCACTGCCAATTGACTTTTAATTGAAAATGCCCATCAGGACATTTAAATAAAAACTTCTAATTGGCTTTGATTTACAGAATTTGTTTTTAATTAGTTATTAATGTATTTGCATTTAAGCTGACCTAAAAAGTAATTTCATTGAGAAATTTAATTTTGAAATTCTGGCTTAGAAAGACTATGAGGAGGTTTTATCTCATCATTAAGTTGCATGCAACTCAGAACCAATTCTCCAGAAAATTCAACCTTGAAGTATAATTAATACAAAAGATTTAATTTGCTCCTTTTTTGTGGCTGCTACAAACCCAGAAAAAAATGCAACAGTCTGACAGCCTACAGACTTCATGCTTCTAAGTCTCTTCAGGGCCCAAAAGTGTGCGTGCCCATGTTCTCTGGGGACAAGTGTGGGGATGGACAAAGTAAATAAATGTGACTCAGCAGACGTGGGGAAGTAGAACTACACATAATAACCTGGAAAATGACACACTCCCAAATATAAGTACATTTATGTGCTGTAGAAACTATTATGTGTCCTTCAGGCAAATACTTCTAAAACTTCAGAGATAACTATGTTTCAAATAGCTGTTTCAACTTCCTGCTAATGCTGAATTTTGTAAACTGCAGAGTGGCATAAATTGAAAGACGCTTTTTAAATGAAGTCAATATATCTTAGGATAGTATTTTCCAAAGAGAGGATGAAAAAGAGTAAGATGAGAGGCTGTTTATATATATATTATATCACACATAAATAATGTATGACAAATGATAGTTATATATACATACTAAAATCTTACTTTAATGGCCAACTAGATTTAAAAATCAGTTATAATTCATAAAAATTATAAATAATACATTCACATTCCTTTAAAAGATTATTTACAATGTACTTTGGCATTAAGTAGTGCGCATGCTTACACAAGTCCACCATTTCTGTGTCAAACTGCCGAAGTCTTTTTGGCCAGAGCTCAGCAGAAACTGCAAGGTGGCAAGAAGCTGGACGAGATGTTTGGTTAAAAATAATCAATAACTAAGAATTATTAATAAGTTCCTCTGGGAGTTGAACTGCTTTTATTTGGTTATCTGGCTCTTTGTTGCTCGTGTGGGAAGTTCACAGGGTCTTAATCTGTGATGCCTTAAATGGTTTGGTCTTTATTCAGTGACTACTTTATCCAGGAAGAAAAGGAAGCAGAAGAAGAAAAGAGGAAAATCTGAAAATAATCTCTGGCTGTACCTGCACGTGATGACATCAGAGATCAATGTCTGGAGAGGGAATTGCAGGAGAAAAGGCGATTTTCATGCCTTGTTCGGCATGCCAATGAACGCTCTCTTTTTAAGTAATACATGCTCCTTACTCTGGCTTGCACTGAAGAGAATAATTTCTTTTTAAAAGTAGACTTATTTTATCTGCCTTCATGCCATCACTCACAGGGCATCCCGAAAAGTCTCAAAGGGTGGGACTGCACTCACTGCCCCCAGGGATGCCATGGTACCTGGGTTGAACATCATGGGCTTTGCTGACATAGAGAAGGTTTGATTTATTGTCAAATAATATTCAATCCTGTTTCTAATAGAGGTCTTTCTGATCTTACCCAGGAATACAACCAGAAAAAAGGAGATGGAAGGAACAGGTGCAGCGGTGGTGCCAGGGTCGCGCATACTCACGGCAGCAGGATGGAAAGGAGCTGTTGATCTGCTCCATGACCTCTGTGAGGTCCGTGCTGGTGTCGTGGGGCGGGGCCAGCAGGTCCTCTGGCACTGCACAGCAGAGAAAAAAACAGGCATCCTGAAACTAACATCCAGGCTTTCAGCAACACCAGCATCAGGAAAATATGAAGGGGAAAATACTAGCTGTGGCCTCTAAATACCAAGGTGAAAATAATTCTCATGGAAAATGACAATTTTAGGGAAAAATACCAAAACCACTTCAGTATTTATTTGTTGGTAATATAACTTTATACATAAATAAAATGTACTAGATGTGCCTATGAAAAGAATCCATGTGCTAGGTTAAAAATTCATGAGTGAAAAATCCATAATGTCATATTATTTCAATTTATTAGTTGGAATTGCATTATTTTGCATTGCAACTATTTTTCACATGAGAAAAATATTCTACCAATTTCTTTTTCCTTCTTCCCTCTTTTTTTTTTTTTTTTTTGAGACTTCAGCACAGGCTTGCTTCTGCTACCACACAGCTAGAGGTATCCCATAAAAGACTTTATGCTTTCATGAATTTCATTCTATAATCAATAGCAAGATGATCCTTATTTAAAAAAATAAAATATTAATATTTTAGTTTTTTCTGATTAATATAGCAAACACTATCTCATAAACAAATTAATTAGGTTAAAGTATGTGATCCTCAGCAGAATTTCTGAACTTGAATGTTATCAACAACCAAATGTCATTCCAGAATGCCCGGTTGACGGAGTCCTTCCTGGCAGCACTGACAGCTCCTCTCTGTGACCAACGACAGGCTGGAGGGGGCCTCTGCCTCAGATGGGGGTGAGGGGGCAGCAATGCCTCCAGGGCCTGGGATGCCGAGAGCGGAATGCTGAGTGCCCAGGCCTGGGCAGAGAAATCCGTGCTGGGGTATCATGTCCTTTACGATTATATTCTGAGTATGTACGAGTATGGTTTTAGAGAAAGACAACTTACTAAAAAATATAGAAAAGAAAAAGAGAATCATCCTCCAGGCAAAAAAAAAAACCCACTTAAATTGTTGCTTATCCCAAAAAGGGAAGAGCACTTTTTTTGCCTTTCACCAAAATTCGGTCTACCACTACACACCATAGACGTGCACATGTGCATTACAGCTATTATTCTAAACGTCTGCATGTTTGATATTGTTGAAATGACTTTTACTCATCTGAAACCAAAGAGAAGAGAAAGTTTCTTTATGCTCTAAGACACCCATGTGCAAAAATGCCATTTGAAAAGGGAAAAAACGCACAACAAAACAAATGGCAAAGACCGGAGCAGTGTGGGGGGCAGTCAATTCCTGGGGACACTGACCGGCTTGGTGGAACGGCGGGCCGGGGTCCGGATCGGGCGAGTGGCTCAATGCGGACCGCTGAGGGGAAGCCCACGGGGAGACGCCGTTGATGCGGGAATCGGATTCAGGCTGGAGTCGCATTCAGAGGGGAGGCCAGAGGAAGATTTAAAATGTTATTAAGGAAACCATTTCCATTTCTAACTTTCCCTTCCTCACCACACATGTAGAGTTCTTCACCCGCAGACATTTTCAAATACATTTCAGCATCTATAGACACTAGAACTCACCAGAACTTACCTGGGCACTAGGTGGTCTTTCCCTTTCAGTCTGGGCGACTTGAAGAACCCACTTGGTTGTATCAAAAGATTTATGTATCAATGTCGGGTCTGTCCCTCAATTGTTCTCATTATTTTTAGGTCAACCAAGTGGATTTAGAAACATGATTAATTCATCTCTAAAAAATCAGCACTCCTTGTCTTTGATCCAACTTCAAAATCAGCTCATTTTTTAAGTATAAATCAATATTTAAAGGCAATATTGGAGGGTGGTTAACAGCACAATTTTGAATTCAGATGATTAGACTTGAACTCTGTCCCTCAGAAGTCGTTTAATTCCGAGCAAATGTTTAACCTTTTGGACCTCAGATTCTTTCTTTAAAAAGCTGGGGGTGCTTGTATCAGAGGGCTCTGAGGTGGAAATCAATGAGTATTTCTAAAGTGCTTAGCACAGAATTGGACACCTAGCAAAAACTTGGTAAACACACTCGCACACAAAGCTTTGAAACAATGATGGACATATTGACAAGTACATGGTCAAATTAGAAAATGTGACCCATTGAAGAAGGAATGCAGAAGTTATATATGATGCCGCCCTGACTGGTGTGGCTCAGTGGGTTGGGCGTTGTCCTGTAAACTGAAAGGTCGCTGGTTCAATTCCTGGTCAGGACACAAGCCTGGGTTGTGGGCCAGGTCCCTGGTCAGGGGCATGTGAGACGCAACCAATCTATGATTCTGTTTCTCTCCCTCTCTTTCTCCCTCCCTTCCCCTCTAAAAATACATAAATAAAATCTTAAAAAAATAAGAAAATAAAATATATTTGATGCTGACTTTTGCATTAATCTGTATTAGTTGAATGAAGCCTGGTGGGTTTGTCAGTTTTTACTTGCGGAGTTGAATTTTCTGTCTCCTGGCATCCGTGCTGTCATTAAGAAGAGATAAGAGCTGCACGGTCTGGGATGTACAGAGTCATTCCGATATCAGCTATCTCTAAAAGCAACACCGTGCAATTCCGAAGGCACATGAGCCATTAGGCAGCCCTGTCTAATGGATGGAGAGAGGGAAGGCGGGCAGAGGGAAGGGGGAGCCAAGGGCCTTCGGCTCCCCGATATCATCGGCAGACTACGGCAAACGAAGGTTTCAGAGCAGGGCTTCCTTCGGCAATGATTGTTGTCCACGTACTAGGTTGCTCAAGTGAATACTTCATATTCTAAACATGAGCTTTCAAGAGAAAATTCATCCCTTAACATGGGCACCACTCAGAAACTTTAGATTCATAATACTAACGATGTAGCTCTTCCCTCTGTACAGAGGTTTTGGCCTCTGTGTGATGTAACAGAGGTAAAAACCAGACATTCCAGAGGACTTAAAAAGGGCCCAGCCTGGGGTCTGTCTTGGGGGAACTCTTACTTTCTGATGATGCACAATTTGGAAGCTCCAAAGGAACCCGCGACCAAAATAGTTTCACACAAATTCTGAAACAGTGACATACAGAAAAATACACAGTCAAAATATAATGGGTGACCTTTGGCCTGCTCTGTAGGTAATGCAGAAATTACACTGGTTTGAACTGTTCGGACATGTTAAAAGATACCGATAACAAGGGTGAAAGACAGTTTTCTAAAGTTTGAGAAAATCACTGGAGAGAAAGCGGTTTCTGCTTTGACTCAATAAATCATCTCTGGAGAACGGCATTTCTGCCAAGGAGCGTCACTGCCTTGGGGCCCCTTGCTGCGGGGGCCAAAGAAAAAGGCAAAAGACGACACAAATGTTGATGCCGAGGGTCAAGTAGAGAAGCTCCAGGTCCACTTGCTGGGATTCTCCACAATATGTACCTGCTGCAAAGGCATCTTCACCACTAATCCTGTGACATGGTTCCTATTACTGCACTGCTAGATGTGATCAAGGACTTAATTCTCAACACCGCGTTATGTCTTTATATAAGAAACCATCTCATTGTACATCATACTACCTTGTTATGGTCCCTAATGAGATGGCAGGTACCAAAACGGCAGAAACTTTTCTATCTCAAAGAACAGTGTTTTTCAAAATTTCAGACTATTACTCATTGATGAGTTATAAAACCGATTTGAGAAATCAATTTTTTGATCAGCACTAAAAGGAAAGACAAGGAAAGTGGAACAGAGGAAGGGAAGAATTAAGACACAGAGGAGAGAAATAAAAGAAGGGAGGAAAAAGGAGGGAGGAAAGGCAGGAAGGAGGAAAGAAAGGAAAAACAAGAGAGCATTTCTTTATAACAACAACTATTTTATATTTATCATACATGTATATATTCATCAAATAGAAATTGTATTTCTTATTAAGAAATTTTGCAAGCAACTGCCATAAACATGGCTCAGTGTTAGGAAATAATAGTCACAAACTGAAAAACATCTGTCACTTAATTTCTTGAAAATAGCTCATTGGAAGAAAAGCTTTAGAATGAAGAGTTCAGGTCACTTCTTTTCCCTTAATCTTCACAGACGTTTCCCGTATTTAATTTACGCAGACCTATGTCACAGGATCTTTTTCCTGAAACCGTCCGGAGCCGAGATAGATTTCGGTGTTAAAGAAGAGTGGGAAAGTCCAGCTAAAACTGGGCGAGCTCGCTGTCTGTTGTTTGTGTGTGTGTGCCAGGGAGGATTTAGTGCTTACATTTGAAGAGGGATTTCTAAGAAAGTCTAAATTCATTCCAGAACTGAGAAACTGAAAGTGAACCTCTCCAGTGACACTGGTACCAAGTGCCTGGGAGACGGGACCGGGACAAATGGCGTGGAGAGGGGCGACGCTGAGTCCCTCATGCCCTACCTGCTCCAGCAGCTGCCGAAGTCGGTGGAGCTGAGACTCCAGCTGCTTGTTGTGGTCCTCTAAGATCTGCATCCTTGCCTCCAGCCGACCTTTGTGCTGCCGGAGCAGTTTGGCTTCCGCTATCAGTTCTGAATCCTCGGAGGTGTGGTGAGGAGATACGACAGAGTCTGGAGGTGACCCGACTGGGAGCCCCCGTCTCAGGTGCTGCTCCTTTAGCTGCTCATACTCTATCTGCAAATTTCTAACACAGACAATCAGAAACTGAAATGATTACAGTGCACATTGCCTTCTACCTCCAAAGTTAGTGCATGCTATTTATTTCCTCCTAGGTAAAAACACTTCTTAACAGTGAGATGAGCCAGCATGAAGAAAGTGGTGGCTTGGAGTTATTATTCTAGCAGACATCATCCCTGGACCCGAAAACAGAGCCGTATGTAACCTAAAGCCAGCAGGCCAGTTTGGTCATGTCCTCGAAAACTATGACTCCGCCATGACTTCTTGGACAATAACTGGAAAAGGGAATGGGCAGGAGCCAGGTTGAAGTTCTTATTAAAGAATTTTCCATTACAAGTTTTCCCAAGATGACATGTCTTCTCCTCCCAGGTCTAGCATACCTCTGTTCTTCCTCCAAGTCAGCAATGATCCGCTCCAGTTCTCCTCGTTCTTCCCTCTCCACCGACTTCAGGATCTGAGCTGGACTCTGGGGCTGGCTCAGCGGGGACTCCCCTCCCAGCGTCTGGCAGTACTGCTGGATGAGGGCGTGCTCGTCCTCCCTAGGGAGACAGGTGAGACAGAAAGGCTCATGTCTGGATGCTGATGTCTTAGAATGTAAAGCAATGATGATCAGGATAGCTGCTGGGAAAAGTTTGCCTTAAAGTTCAATGTCCCTGTGAATGAAAAAGGGCTGTTGTAATAAATCTAACCAAAAGTAACCTCACGGGGTAATCTGATTACAAATTCCTAACTGGGCAAGTCATGGTGGGTAGTCACACCCCGGGCCTACAACTTCCTAGTTAAAGCTTTAAGCAAGCATCTAGGTCAATGCATCTTTGAAATGCTAGAAGTAATCCTCTTTACCAGAGCCCTCAAAGGTATAACCACCCTCAAGGGAGCACGGAATCTTGTTTAACTGTCTGTACCTTGCTTTTCCCACTTTCATGTAATTTTCCTTAGTTTCTGCCTTAATTCCAAAAGTATGCCCCAAAATTGCAAAGCCATCATTCTCTGGGGCATTTTAGATATTGCTTCCAGCATGTCATCAGTTTGGCTCAAATAAACTCTTAATAAAATTTCTCTACAGATTTGGGCATTTCTTACATCCAATGACATGTTTCTTATGACACCCCAGGACCTCACTTTAAAACTCTAGGAAGATATTTATCTAACATTATAAGTGTACTACATATACCAGCATTTCATGCTTTACCTTAGTCTAACATGTATTTATCACAAACCTCAGAAGAGATATTTTACCCAGTAGAGGCTAAAAAATAAAGTACAATACATAAACAGTCCATATAAAAGATACAGTCAAGATCAATAATGAAATACCCAATAGTAGATTAAAAAACAATTAAAAATAAAGAGCTATAGATGGACTGTTTGTGTCTCCCCAAAATTCACATGTGGACACCTAATGTCCAATAATGGTACTATCAGCTTTCATATCTGTGGGTTTCAAAGATTCAACCAACCGTGGATGAAAAACAATTTGGGGGAAAAAAAAACCTAGCAGAAAGTTCTAAAAAGCAACACTTGGATTAGCACTACACTGTTTTCACTAGGACAAAGTGATGTGTGGGAATATCCTACTGTAGCAAATATAGGTTATATGCAAACACTACGCCATGTCATAGAAGGACTTGAGCACCCTCCTATTGTGGAACCAATCCCCTGAGGATACTGGGGGACTGTACTTGAATGTGGGGTCTTTGGGAGGTGACAAGGTCCGAAGAGTGGGACCCTCATAGATGAGATTGGTGCCTTCATAAGGGACCAAAGAGACTAGAGTTCTCTTCTTGCACCATGTGAGGCCACAGCTAAAAGGGGGCCATCTATGAACCAGGAAGCAGGCTCTCATCAGAAGTCGTATTTGCGGGCGCCTCGGTCTTAGACTCCCCAGCCTCTGGAACTGTCAGAAATAGATATCGGGTGTTGGGGAGCCAGCTGACCTAAGGCTCTGGGTCACGGCAGCCCCAACAGACTGAGACACAAGCTCATCTCACTGCCTTTCACACTTGGTTGTAAGCCATTTTGTAATGCTTGGTAATCCATAGATAGGAAAATATAACGCTCATATTCTTTTGTTTAAATAACTCAGCATGAATTATAATTGTCTTTAAAGAATATCTACAGACATTTTACTTCATATTATCAGCATGCCGATGCTATGACCAGTCATTCTTCATTAAAACAAGAAACTCCACTTAATTCACCTGGGTTCTCCCACTTTTCTGACAACTTGTCTAATGAACTAGACACATCACTAGTGCGGTTGATCTGATGACTGACAGAAACAGAAGCGTAACAAGTGGACAAAGCTAGGAAGTTTATGAGAAGAAAATGCTTCCCAGCAGGGCTGGAGTCCCTTCCCTCCCTTTATGGGGAGATCTAGTCAGATCTCCTCATAAACGTGCAGAAACGACAGACCTCCCAGCTCACGCTAGCAGGGGGTCCTGCCGTGGAACATCGTTAGCGGTTTGGGCCTGGTGTGTCTTGATGGTTTTTGGGAAACAAATCCTTGAATCTAGGGCTGTAGAGCAAAGAAGCTCAGAAAAACATCAGTGAAACAAATACACACCCAGATGAGACAAAATTAGACTGGAGATGCATTTTGTTGTGAACATTTACACAGATCCATTGCTTTTGAGAAGCTGATGGGGTTTAACACATTATTATAATTATCATCATCGCCACTATCATTACATTCTTTCATTAAGGTATCCTGGAAGGGCAGGAAGGCAGTTTTCATACATACACAAAATCATTTATATAGAACCTATAATTTCAGTCTTAAGTGTTTTTCACAGATTATTAGGTCAAGAGTTAAATATAAAAAGAGACACAGTTCAGTTCTTAATTAGATGTACTGAAAAATAAGAGCATATCCTTACAGACGGGGCATGAGGTGCCAAATTAGGGTTGTGCCAATGGTGTGCCTGGTGCTAAAATAGAAAATGTTGTAAAAATATAAGTCTGCACCAACATAATCCTGTTAGATGGAATATAATTATACTGTGTTTAAGTCACACATAGTAAATACTCTCCAGACCACAAAATTAGTACATATCGGAAGACAAAAGAACAGTGATTCATCCAATGGCCTTTTGAAAGTAGGCAAGACATACATAAAAATAATAAACTCCTCCCTTAAAGGATTATTCTGGACCAGGCTTCAGACTTGTAAACAGCGATGCCAGTGCAAACCACACCAGCCTCCCAATTTGAGCTTTAAAACCATGTCACCCAGGGCAGATGGCGGACGAACCGAGACACCCCAATGGCCAGGGCCTGACAGCCCTTGAGTGCCTGCTACTGAGATTCCCCAGGACTCTCCCCGGTCCTGTCTCTCTTTGAGGCATGGTTGCTCATTCCTCCTTCAAAGAAAATTAGTATCTTAAAATTAATGCCCTTTATTGTCCAGAGTCAGACTTTCAGGGGCATAGGGAGTGTGGATATTTGGATCTATGAGGGACAGAAAGCTGTGAGATTGAGTCCTGTGTGGGCTGGCAGCAGCCCATGATGCAGAGAGAAGCAGCAATTAACCAGCTTCATTCACTGAAGTTGACGGCTATGGGGAACCAGGCGGTTGGTCCAGAGATCAATCTGAGGCATGGAGAAAACCATTTGAGGCCTCTGAAGACACAGAAGACACTTGGTAGATGTAGAGAGAATTACAGGTTCAAATCTTAAAATTCATCCCTCAAAGCTTTCTTTTATTGCCTATCACCCAAACCAAATATAGGACACTGGTCCAGCAGATGGTGAGTTACAAAACCTCCTACTGAAACTTCCTGCTATACCTACATGATCCCCCATCTATGCTTCCTGCTACCACAGAAAAGTCCTGTAAGACACAGATGAGCGTTGACTGTGAAGTGGGAATGTGAATGGACAACGGGAGTAGAACAAGGACAGCCATAGCCTCTGGGAAGACTGGATGGGTCCTCGGACGCTCTGCCGCCCTCACATCCCGATCTGGGAAGCCATCTCTTCCCAGAGCAGCTGAGGCAGTGGGGTGGGTCGGAGAGGCCAGGATGCTGTGCCCGGAGCCAGGCTGCCTGAGTCTGAATCCCAGCTCCGCCACTCACTGACTGAGAGACTCTGGGCAAGCCCCTTAACCTCTCAGGGCCTCGGATGACTCCTCTGTAAAATGCTGGTGACGAGAACAAGAGTATCATCTCAAAGGGTTCTGTAAGGATTAAATAAGCAAAGATGGGCGAAGTGCTTGGACAGCGCCTGGCTCTTAGAACGTGCTATATTAAGGAGGAGGTGGTGGCTGTTTCTGCATCATCACCATTATTATTCAAGAGAAACCTGACAATATTTTCATGACCCGGCTCAGAATAACAAGAACCTCAACTCAAGAGGGCCTTGGGGAAAGGTGGAGAATTGAAGAAAGAAAACAATTCTAAAAAGTATCATAGAAATTTGCTAACTTAGACCTTTTTTTTTTTTGCTTAAGACACTTTGAAGTTAGTTTTTCATCTTTCCCAAGAACAATAATAAAAATTGCTCATAATTGGAAGTTGGTTGCCTCAAGACAGACCCAAGCGTGAAGAAAAGAGCCAAGGCGGCCTTGAGACGCACTCCCCTCTTCCTTGTTCAGGAGCTGGTGCTACAGGTAAGTGGCACTAAAACTGTCATCTCGGTCTCTGGGGATGATATCATGACCCTACCCGTGCCAAAGCTTTAGGAAATTTCCAGGGGAAGGCCAGAGTATTAGAGTATGTTTCGTATACTTTCTGCTATTACAAAAAGGTCCTGTAAGACACATGAACTTCGGTTGGAGCTGAATGCAAAGAAAGAACAGCACAGCATCTTGTTAAGAACAGCTAGCATTTCTTCCTCTATCCTAAGATCCACGATGCTCAGTGATTGATGGGAAATCCAGCTGGAGAAGCAGAGTGAGGCTTAGTTCCTAGCCCTTCCTTCACAAACCCTGAGGAACAGCATCCGTCCAAAAAAGCTAATAATCATCCTCCTATAAGTCCCCATCCACTGGGAGAAAAGGTATTTACTAGTGTAATACTTCTATATCTTGCCAGCTCTACAGCACTAATTAACATATTGAAAGGAGTAAATATACATTTAAAGAAGAAAAGGTGACCATTACAAGTTGAACCACTGGACTTCAGGTACAGAGTAAGGCTTAAGGATCCAGAGTCCCTGTGGGCACTCTCACCTGAACGGTTGGGTCCCCGTATGTCCACAGTAAAAGGAGGCTAGTTTACTCAGTAATTCAAACTGTGAAAGAGTCAAGAACTTCCCAAACCAGCCTTACCAAAATAAGGTTTATTCACATATTCATTGAGACAATGTTAATGCACCAGTGACTGGGAAACAATTTCTCTTTGGTGGTTTATACCTTCTAACACTATGAATTTAACTTAATCTTACATATCAGGGAGAATTTGTTTCCTTGTGTTTTCCAATGCCTGGAGGCCGCCCGCATCCACATTCAAAGCCAGCAGTGTTAACATCTGCAAATCTCTCTGAATCCATGCTCTGATTCCAAGGCTACACCTCCTTCCCCAACTCTGCCTCTCCTCCCTTCTGTAGGGATCTTTGTGATCACACTGGGCGCACTCAGATAATCCAGTTTAAGACCCTTAATTTAATCACACGTGCCAAAGTCCCTTTTGCCATATAAAGTGGCATATTCAGAGAATTGTGGGATTAGGATGTGGGCTTCTTCTGGGGGCCATTGGACTTCCACTCTCCACCACAAACGCCCTCACCACGCTCTCCCCCCAGGGGGCACTCATCGGTCTCCAGTCCAGCCTGCGGGACTGGTGAGCACGCACCAGCGGCACCTGCAGACCTTTGCCGCCCCGGGGGCCTGGCCGGGGTGTGCTGGTCACTGTTTAACAGCAGGTTCTCTAAACGATGACTAAAAAGACCCTGATTTGTAGCATTTTCAATTTCTATGATTTAAGTGCTTTCACTACGGCCAGTTTAAGTGAATGGCTTGACTGAGTGTGAAGTTGGGAAAAGATATCACGGTATATACCATCTGACAAATACAAAACATTTCCCCAACAACAGATTTGTAGTAAAGTAAAAAAATTAGCGCATGATGAGTTTTGAGTATTATCTTTGTTTTTATTTTAATCCTATCTATTTAGCTGTAAGTGCCTATACACTAACTTTAAATAATGGCTTTGTGTAACAAACAGCTAAGACTTCTTGAAAATTCAACAACTGGCTCTGACAACGGGTTCCAGCACACCACTATACAATGGGTGTATAATAAATAGTTGTTGGGTGGAAGAATGAGTCAGTGCATCTGTTAATATTGTATTGAATTGTATTCAGCTATTAATCATCAGATTATTTTTTCTTGCCTCAGGTATTAGTGCCAAATTTAAAGATAGTGTGAATTTTAATTTGAACATAGGATATACTAAATTTGACCATTATCTTTAATCTGTTCACAGGATGTGCCAAGCAAATTTTAAAGAATTTATATTTGGTTTTAAGTTTTTGGTTTCAATTGTTATTTTTAGATTTTGTCTAGTTATTTAGCTATTGTCAACTTTGGTAGAAATTGTTGATTTAGGAGATATTCAATATATTTAACTATCGTATATGAAATATATCCTAGCAGGTTAAATATGAAGCAAGCATTCTGAATTATGAATATGGCATTACCTTTGTTTGGAAATTGTTTCACACCCACAGCACATGAATAATAATGTATAAACCACTGCTGCGTTACCATAAGGTCTTAACTTGCTGACCTTTGAAATTTAAAATGGAAAAATCTCCTGAGAACATTTATTTGTAAGTTTGATGACATTAAAATCATTTTGAAGTTACTGACAGAGAAATATTCTATATTAGAGTACCTAAGGTATGTCAAATGGCTCTCTTCACGGTCCTTTTCAGTATAAAACACCTAAGTACTGTGTTCTACAACGCTCCTGCTGCCTTACAGCTCCCCTTGGGCCCCAGCTGCAATGAGCCTGAGTAAGTCAAGTTCACTCGCCACTTCTGAAATCTTTCAGACACCATTCAGAATGTAAAAGGTTCATTTCAAGGGGTGGGTGGGGGGAGAGTTCCAAAAGTGCAATGACACATGACGATGTCAAATAAAATATCTGCCTAGAAAGGTTTTTAGGAAGTATTCCAAAGTGAATCAGGCTTTTCTTAGTAGCTAACCAAACACTGCCAGAAGAGCTAATACTTCAGTGAAGGGTGGGGAGTGTATGTGCAAGAGCATGGGGGGTCCCCATTGTTAAACGGCAGGGTTTGTGGTGGAAATGTGAGGAGAAGGAACATGATTTTATGGACAGGCACATATTCTGTGGAATTAACAAGAAATTTCATACAAGTGGAGTAACTGCCTACACCTGTATTTGTAAATAAAACAATCTGATTTTCCTGAAGTGGATTAGCTGCCAAATGCAGGATTTTTTCATTAACTTATAGGAAATTAAGTAAACAAACATATCCAATTTATACTGCCATGGCTTGAAAGCATAAAATCTAGGTGGACATTTTTGTAACCACACATCAGTTTTGATTGGGATCAAAATCCAGAGCCACCATCGGTGAAGATGATTTCCGACAGCCATCATACAGGAACTGGCCCACCCCAGCAGCACTGATTTCAGGGTTTACTTACACGCTTCCTGTGGTAGAGCTGCTGTCAGTGAGGAAAGACCCGTTGGTCCTTTCCATCTGGGCCAGTCTGAAAAAGAAAAATAAAGGGCTTAGGCAACGTGACCACGAGGGGCAGAGTCAGCTGGAGGTTTGGCCTCAGTCATTCTTAAACTGTCATAACCTTCACAAAATACAGAAAGGTCCAATTCTCCTCATGAGACTGTGGGATTAAAACAACCTCTAATGTTGAGTTACATTTCTATTACCACTGCCTTAAGGCCTGTAGGCCTTTATCTTATGCCATGTTCTACTGGCAGGGGTGTCCACCCTTTCAGCATCTCTGGGCCACGCTGGAAAAAGAACAGTTGTCTTGGGCCACACATGAAATATACAAACACTAACAAAAACTGACGAATGAAAAAAGGTTTCAAGTAGATTTACAATTTAGTGTTGGGCGGCATTCATAGCCATCCTGGGCCGCATGTGGCCTGTGGGCTGTGGGCTGGGCACCCCTGATTCCCAACTGCCTTAGCCTCCTAACTAACCTCCCTGACCTTCAAGTCCATCTTCATTCTCACACAAATCTAACTATGATCCCTTCATGTTTCAAGACTCTCTGTGACTCCGCTTTACCCAGGGAAGGGACATAACCTGCCCCTTAGCAAGCAGTCCCGTTATGGGACTTCGGCTTCTCTTCCTCTACTCCTCATCCTTGACCCTTTCCCTACTTGCAGTTCCTCAAACAAGCCGTGTTCTTTCCCAGCTCAATGCTTTTGAGGATGTTTTTCCATTAGCCCAAGCCTGGCTTTTCCCAGAAATTCTATTTGACCAAAACCCAGTTCAAATGCTACTATTTTTATGATGTTTGAACTAACCTTTTCAGGTGTAGCTACTTACTAGCAGACAACTAGTATACCTGCTTTTCGAAAGTTTCTACATACCATCAAGACCAAACTATTCTTTATACTTGTGTGTGTGTGTGTGTGTGTGTGTGTATGGTGGGGGGGGCTTGAATATAAACCCCTGTGATAAAGCATTAACATACATTAATTAGCTATTGTAATTCATATGTGCATCGTCTCCTGAGAGCACTTTCAAGCCCTATTTCATTCAATGAAACTGGGTTACATTATCTAAGTCCTGCTTATACAGTGTCTGGATTCTCACGAGCTCCATAATCACATACTACTGAGTTTCTCTTTCTGCTCTTTATAGAATGTATAGCAGGTGTTTGGGAAAGTGCTAATTACAACATGGGAAAATGAGAGCCCAGATTCCAAATATAATGGAATCACAGCTCCTACGAAACAACATCCCTTGAGTCGAGGCACATTCGTGGTGTAGGAATAACACAGAAATAAATACATTCTGGGAGGCAGTGCAGCAGAGGGCTCCATCAAAGTTTCTTACCGTGTGGCGTACTGTTCGATTCTTGAATGGGTATCATCGTGAAACAGCTGAGGAGACTGCGAGGGGCTATAAAGGAAAATGCAAATAAACAGTTTTATACCCACATGTTGATAGATGTTCCTATTAGAAATGTTAGCTTAGTTAAATAATGAATTTACCATGCAAAGAAACCACCAGGATTGTTACCCAGGAAGCAGAACCATTATTTTAGAACAAGTGTTTAGTAATTGCCCCCATGCTAACAGACTGATTAGAACCTCCTCGTCTGCATACAGAGCCGCAATACTCACTCATAATGCTCTGGCCACATACTGATGAGTGTGATAGGACTGCGGAGAGGGGAGAGGGAAACAAAAGTCACAGAACAAACACTTTAGAGCAAGTTAAGACAAAAGCAGTGGGGGATGGAAGTGAGGGAACATTCTCAATTGTCTTCCTCTGCTGTATTAGTTTTCACCATCGGGACTCAAAAGTCACAGAAATCACTGTTTATTCTAGAGAAGATGCTGATGTTTCCATGCCTGCAGAGGCCTTTTCACAGATATTACAGGCTGTTTGTTACAGGACAGCAAACACAACTTAAATAGTCTTAATGAAAAGAAAAAGACAATGCTCCAAAATTATGGACAATTGCAAAGACAATATTCCATAATATACTGAGGAAAGAGGCAATCACATTTTTGTTTATCTTTCCACCTAAGAAAGGTAAAGTTAAATACTGAAGACTATATTATGTATTGATGACAGAGTTGCAATAAAATGAGACTGTTTTGATTCTCTGTCCAATTTTAAAAGTAAACTCAAATCTAGGCATATACCAAGCATCTCAGCCTCACGGATACATTGAACAAAAAAAGACATAACCTAGATACCTCCCCTACACCCCACCAAAAATTTCACGTTATCACTAAAACTAAAAAAAATTTTTTTTAGATCATGATAGACTTTTCTTCATACAAAATATTATCCAGAAGTTCAATCTATGAAACTGATAAAGAAACTTGTTCTGCTTAAATCAGGGCTTGAGTCTAGAGCGTGATCAGTCAGGGCTACTCCCAGCCCTGGGGGCGGTCCAGCCTCACAGAACAGCCTAGGAGCCCCTGCATCCCCAGCACAAGCCTTTGAAAACAATCGATCCTAATTAAAAGGCAGCTCAAACCCTAACATGTTTTTAGGGGGTAGGGGTGGGAGAGAGGAGGTACTGGTGAATGTGGAGCTTTAAAAGTCCAAACAAAATCAGCTCTCTAATTAACTAACTACAGTCTCCTACAAAAGCCAATGCCGACTCAAATAAAGAAGGAAAGCTGCAATTTATCTGAGCTCCACTTGATTCTCCTGTGTCTATTACACATACACACTTATGAAAAATTTAATGATGTCATTATCTCCTAGTGGGAGGCACAATTTGATGTCTAAATAGCAAAGATGAGAAGGAAATGGAAGGTCATCTTATTGGAATGACAAACTAAGACTCTTTGGACCTGCTTTCAAAAACAGGCATTTATCTGGTCTGTGTCTGTCAGAATATCTATACTGGAAATGGACTTAATTATCCATGTATAAAATAGACACAAGAACAATAAAACAGCACTGCACTATTCAATAGTCTTTCTACATCACTACTTTTCATTAAATTGGAAATATGGATGTTAAATGGCAGGTGAATGGTTTGCTATACACGTTCCCCAAAACTGTAACTTCTTCAGTGATCATTTCTAGAATTCAAGTGTAACACATTTACCATGAGCTTTGAACACACACACACAAAAACCTATTTTTTTTAAATCTTAATTGAACTTGGAAAAACTTTGTAAAATTGCTCGGCTGGTTCTTGTGAAGTTAATTCAGCAAGCACAACAGTGATTCATTGAACTAAGATAAGAACGGCAGAGGCAGAAGGCTGAACTGAAGAGTTGCTGAAAAAAATGTTATTATATATTGAGAAATTTTCTAAGAAAAGAAAGAAAGATTAAAAAAACTGAAGGCTTCATTGATTTCAAAGTATTTTGATTTGTAGGGGGAAAAAAAAAACTTGAGTGATAAGCTTTCTCCTCTAACTCTGGAAGGGGGAAAAACGGCAACACGCTCACTGTAAGCTGAAGTGGCCAGAAATGAGATGGGTCTGCACGTTAGCCCAGATTTAATACAGCCTAGTGACTGAATAGAGGGTTTCGATTAATCAAATGCAATGTGCAAACAATCAGACTCTACTAAATATACTTAATATATGAACATATGCCAGACTTTCTTTGAAAAACTTAGTGATTTTTTTTAGTGCTTTAAATTCTGAACAAACTGCTCCTAATGCTTCCGGTCTTTCGCTTGCTTAAATACAGGGTCCAGCAGAAATAGTGCCTGCTTGAGTGTGGTTGGTATGATAATAATATGGGTGTAATACATTTATAGTTTTAATTTGAACATTTCATCTAAGAGGTCATATGGTGTGCTTGGGTGTGATATTGTTATGTTACAGAATTATATGCTTATAATTTTGCAATAAAAGACTTTGTAATGAAAAGGGGCATTATTTGTGCTGGATCCTGAATATTTGTCCTGGAACTGGGTAAGAGGGGTCCCATCGTCCTCTGACACACAAACCTTCAGTGGCTGCCTACTGCTCCCTGACATGGCTTATATACAAGGCCCTTCAGTTTCTGGTTCTTGCTTCTTTCTCCACTCTCCTTTCTTGCCACTATTCCTAGCTTCCCACCCCAGTTTCCAAAACGATCTTGACTCCAGGCCTTTGAGAAAATGCTTCCCTTGAGGCCAAACCTTCCCTTTCCTCCTTGCACACCACATGCTGACCGTTTGGCCCTTTAATCTTTCAGGTCTCACGTCAGCCATCACTTCCTCCCAGGCCAGCGTGCCCACAACCGCAACTACACCTACCAGGAGACAGTCTTTGCTGCAGGAAGGATGCGAAAAACCACACACTTTATCCACTCCCTCTTAGCCAATATCAGGGACAGGCACCTACATCAATTCTTTAACATTTAGGAAAACCAACCTAACTTTTCAGCCAATAACAAGCTACCACAATTCTCAAGTTCCTTTGGCCACTACTTTCGCTTGTCTCTCAGGTTTATATTCAATGGTATCTTTTTCATTGAGCTCTACTCATTTATTTTCATTATTTTTTGAAAAATCCAGCAAAGTTATAAAATGTACTGAATAAACCTAGGCATGGGCTTGTTTACCTTCTTTTCAGAGTAACTCATTTTTCCTATAAAGCCCTTCCAAGCATGCAAGTATAATTACCGGATAAGAGATAAGACATTGCGTTTTGCAGTAATAAAAGAGAAAGAAGCCAAAGGAAATTCTAATCAGCTCCATAAATAACTTCAACACATTTACCACTTCACTGGTTTTTCTCCAATGTTCTCCTCCCACAAAGAGGAGAATAGACGAAATCAAACTTTTTACTACCCACTCACATAAATCGTTACACCAGAAGATTAAGTAGCCTTGTACTAGAAAGGACTCAGCAGAAAATGAACTACAGTAAGCCCCAGAACACATTTTAGGGTTAAAAAAAAAACACAAGAAAATCTGCCCACTCTAAACAGCAGCTCATAAATCTTTTCCAAAACACGTCTTGTGACATCTGATTTAATCTATACCCGTTTACTTTCTCTTGTTTTCCTCTCACTGGAAATGCTGGTAAATTCATGTTAGATGAAGTGAGGCATTTTCAGAGTTACAGCCAAAAATCTGAGCACAAAATTATTGGCATGCTTTTCTCTTCTTTTTTACTTTAACTGACTCAGAATAGAATGATGGATGCCGATGATTATTTTTGACACTGAAAGGCAAATTATCAAAAATGTTTAAAAAGACTATAAAAAGTCTATCTGCACAATTCATTGGAAGGATGTAGATATTTAAGGCACAAAATGCCAATGGTTTAGCAGAAGAGTGAAAGGCATATCACCAGTCCAAACCTATCAATTATCCCATAAATAAAAGCACTGTGTCATAACTCTATGCTTCAAGGAGCTACTCCAAAGTTTAATTAGTTCTGATACCAAGAGTAAAATTTTGTCTTTATCCCGAGGTGTTTAGCCCAATCACATTCTGTATCAGATACTAAAGCAAATAAAGATGTATTTGTTCTGAATGTATCATACACCCTGATGAAGAAAAGGATAAAATATATCCACAAATCAAAAAGAGGACCAAAAATCTACCTTTCCTATGAATTTAAGTATTTGAAGAGTTCTCTTTGAACTGTAATTGCTTCAGTAAAATTTGTTCTAGAGTAGAGTGTGGAAAGCAATGACCGGGAGGCAAATATCTTAATTGTACACAGTTTGGTATCAAGCAAAGTTATCAAACAGTTTGATTTTTTTTTATATGCTTTAAGTGTATATCTGGCATTTTTGGACTTGTTTACACGCACAGCTGCATTACCTCCCTTTCTATATGCAACACCCATGTTGCCTGTGGCAGGGTAAAGACATCCACTGTGCTCTGGCTGTGGTCTTTCTTCTACTTCTTAGCAGTTTCACACATCACACACACACACACACACACACAAACACAAAAACAATTTTCACACAAAGCTACCAAAGCCCCTGGTCTACAGGGCTTTCTACAGAAACAGATTCAGACCGAATCGCCTGTCCCTGTGCTTTGACATCTCTGAGACACAGACCGCCGTCATCCACTGCACTGTTGCTGTTTCCAGATCACGTCTCCCTGAGTTTTGACGGTTAAAGAAAGTTTTACTTCCTAATAATTGTACTTGGTGCACTTTCTATACTTCTTCCTCCTATCTTTTCAACTGTGTAATGTAAGAAAATCCACACTTCATCCCTCTGAGCTTGTCTTATGTGGTCATTTAAGAGATCATCTTTCTGTGACAGGAGCCTCGCTATTTTTTATGAATAGGAACTCTGGGGATGGTTAGCAAGTAAAGTTAATTTTTCCTGAGATTCAAGCACAAAGAAAATTGCTTTCATAGGCATCTTTATGACGATATTTTAAAGATTCAAAGATTTAAATCATATCCATTTTTTATCTTGATATAGAAGCGTTCAGTAATTTAAAATTATTTCTTATGTTTGTTCTGGCTCGTTTGCAAAATTCTTTTCATTTCAGGCTATAAATTGTTATTTTTCTTTGCTTTAAAAACCCATAGTAATTTTGCTAGCTTTAAACTTTGTTTCATTTATGTTGGGAAGCTTCGGTCATAAAATTTAAAGAAGTTGTCTCTATTTCAAGTACTATATAAAGCTATCTCATTTTTCTATCTTCACGTTGAAGAAAAGAGAAATTAGAAAAGAAATGTGAGATTTTGATCAGATTTCAGCATAGGCAGATATCTGAAGCAACACAGGAGATAGCCAACATACTCAAAGTATCCAAATGAGTACGGCTATTGTTGAAAATGAAAAAAAAAAGCATATAAAATAAGTGTGAAGCATACTATAAAAAATAATACAATGTACCCCAAAGAAGGGAAACAAAAAATAAGTAAAATAATGAAAGAACATACAGTACCACAACTTAAATGTTTTTAAGAGAAAAAGAGATAACAATGCAAAGGTTGGCACATTAACACATACTTTTAAAGTTTAGGAACGAGTGCAAAATTACACCTGACACTTTAGCTGTGACACTGTCAAAAGCAAAGAGTAAAAATTTCATGTTGTAAAGATTGATTCTAAGTTTAATTTACCGCATTTAAAATGAACCATTTTACCAAAACACAAATAGTTTTGGTATCAGACAATGGCTCTCGTGTCACTAATACAATAAAAGATAATATCAGATATAAGTACTTAGAAGTTTTAATATTAAACTTACGTCTCTAAGTTGTCACCTTCAAGAACTGTCTGGACAGGCAGGTAGCCAAGCCGAGGATGTTTGGCGAAGTATTTCTTTGATCGGAACTTATTCTTCAATACCTTTGTGAAGTCTCGAACATCTTCCCCAGACGTTGTCTGTGAGTTTGAAAAAAGACACTTCTCTCACTAAAATGGAAGGACATAACTGTCTACGATAAATCAGAGCAAATGTAAACTGATGCAATTCAATGACAACAGTTTCAATAGCTTTATGTATTTTTGTAGTAACACAAAATGTCATAAAAACACATAGTAGTCAGGACACATCATTAAATATACCCTCCAATTAGTTTGTAATTTCTTATTTCCGGTTGAAAATAAACAATAACTAGCTCATGGGCCCAACATTTTTAAAATTGGGCCAAAAAGTAAAATGAGTTTTGGCAATGTTATCGGTTCATTTCTAGTCTTAAAAAGTTGCAGTTTACTACCAACATCTAGAGATGATAAAGAATTATGATATCACATGGTTTTAACTAAGGTGAAAAAATGTGGGTGAGCTACACAGCATGTACTGACTTCACTCAAGTGTGAACTGTAGTCTGGAAGAGAGAAAGTAGTGCGAGAGAAAGAACAACGCCACACCCCTTACTCTATGTTGTAAAAAACAGTAGGGTTCTTTGTCCTCTCCCAACCATAAAACATTTACAAATTGACAGGGACTAAATTTTCATTTTTTAAAAATTTTATTGAATATATTGGGGTGATACTGGTTAATAAAATTATAAAGGCTTCACATATACATATATAATACATCATCTGTATATTGCGTTGTGTGTTCACCACCCAAAAGCAAGTCTCCTACCGTCACCATTTATACTCCTTTTACCCTCCTCTACTTGCCCTGGCCCTCTTCCCTCTCGTAATCACCACACTGTCGTCTGTGTCTACGAGGTTTTTTTCCCTTAATCCCCTTGTGTTTTTCTCCCAGTCCCCTAACTCTAACAGCAGTCTGTCTGTTCTCTTGATCTATGAGTCTTTTTCTATTTTGACTGTTAGTTTATTTTGTTCATTGGAGTCCACATATAAATAAAATCATATGGTATTTATCTTTCTCTGACTGGCTTATTCCACTTAGCATAATAATCTCCACATTCCACCCATGCTGTTGCAAAAGGTAAGATTTCCTTCCTTTTTACAGCTGTGTAGTATTCCATTGCATAAATGTACCATTGCTGTTTTATCCACTCATCTGCCGATGGGCACTTGGGCTGCTTCCAGATCTTGGCGATTGTAAATAATGCTGCAATGAACATAGGGGTGCACATATTCTTTGGAATCAGTGTTTTGGGTTTCTTTGGATACATTCCCAGAAGTAGAATTGCCGGGTCATTAGACAGTTCCATTTCTAATTTTTTTTAGAAAATTCTATACTGTTTTCCACAGAGACTACACCAGTTTGCATTTCCACCAGCGGTGCACTGGAGTTCCCCTTCCTCCACATCCTTGCCAGCATTTTTCGTCTGTTGATTTATGGACGACAGCCATCCTGACAGGTGTGAGGTGATACCTCATTGTGGTTTCAGTTTGCATTTCTCTGATGATTAATGATGTTGAGCATCATTTCATATGGCTACTGGCCATCTGCACATCCTCTTTGGAGAACTGTCTATTCAGGTCCTTTACCTATTTTTAAATTGGATTGCTTGTCTGTTTGGTATTGACCTTTACAAGTTCTTTATAAATTTTGGATATTAACTCTTTATCAGATATATCATTGGCAAATATGTTCTCACATTCAGTGAGTTGTCTTTTCATTTTGTTGATGTTTTACCTCCCTGTGCAAAAAGTTTTTAGTTTGATGTAGTCCCATTTATTTATTTTTATTTTTTATTTCCCTTGTCCAAGGAGACATATCAGAGAAAAAACAGTGCTACAAGAAATGCCTGAGATTTTGCTGCCTATGTTTTCTGCTAGAATTTTTATGGTTTTGAGTCTTACATTTAAGTCTTTAATTCATTTTGAGTTCATTCTTCTGGATGGTGTAGGAAAGTAGACTAATTTCATTTTTTTGCACATCTGTCCAATTTTACCAACACCATTTATTAAATATACTATCTTTACCCCATTGTGTTTTCTTGCCTCCTCTGTGGAATATGGCCATAAAGGCATGGGTTTATTTCTGAGCTCTCCATTCTGTTCCGTTGAAATTTATGTCTGCTTTTATGCCAGAACCATGTTGTTTTGATTACTATGGCCTTGTAGCCTAGTTTGATACCAGGTGGCATGATTCCTCCAACTTAGTTCTTCTTTCCCAAGATTGCTGTGGCTGTTTGGGGTCTTTTTTCCTCCTCTTTGTTGAATTTATTGGGGTGACACTGGTTAACAAAATTGCATGAGTTTCAGGTGTACAGTTCTTCAACACATCATCTGCACATTGAATTGTGTATTCAGCACTCCAAGACAAGTCTCTTTCCATCACCATTCATTCCCCCATACCCTCCTCCACCTCCCCCCACCCACCTCTCCTAGTATCACAGGGAGTGATGGGGATGAGGCCAGAAGAGTTCATCAGGCCCAAACAGACCCAGATTTGGCTGTGTGAAGGGAGGGCTCTGTACCAGTTGGATGTGTGAGGGGGGGGAATGGCCCTTGTCCCAGAGCCACACAATTCAGTCTGCCCCAGGTTCTGCCAGGAGCCTAAGCTCAACAGGGCAGGGCCACTGTGAGTCAGAAGGGTGGGACAGGTGGATCTCCCATGAAGAGGAGGTGCCAGTCAGGTTTGGAGAAAAGTGAGAGGAGTGACCTGGCCCCAGAGCCACATGACTCAGTCTGTCCCAAATTCTGCCCAGGCATTGGCAGGGAGGGGCCACCAGGAGTCGAGAGAATGGGGCCACCTGGAGCCCAGAGTGTGCAGCTAGAGGATCTCCCATGAAGGGGAGGCACCAGTTTGGTTCATGGGAAAGTGGAGGTAATGGCCCCTGCCCCAAAGCTGCATCCCTCAGTCACTGACACCCCAAGTCTGGCCAGAGCTCAATACCCTGGCCCAGGTAGCTGATTTCTCAGCAGGGCTTGAGCTCCACAGGGTGGGATGACAGGGAGTCCAGAGGGTGAGACTACTGCATTCCCCCAGGCTGGTGCCATGTGGAGGGGAGTGCTCAACCTAAGAATTAGGGCATCTGTGGTGTGGGAGAGGGACTCAGTACAGGGACCCTGGCAACTGTCCCCTCAGCCTTCTCCCTAGAGCCACAAACCTCAGTCTCTCCTCACAGGACTCCAGACTGCTCCACCATCCCTCAGTCGGAGGCCAGGATGAGTGGAGGTAAACAAGATTTTGTATATTGGCCCTTTAGGACGGTGCCTATGTCTCGAGTAGACCCCTGTCTCCCCCTGGCAGACAGAATCCCTGCTGATTTTCACAGCCAGATGTTATGAGGGCACCCCTTCTGGCTCTGTTGCTTTGGGAGAACCTTTGCAGCTGAGCTATCCCTCTGGAATCTCAGCCACTACCTCTGGGAGCAGGGCCAGCCCTTTTGATGTCTCTGACCTTCCTACCAATTTCAATGTGGCTTCTTCTGTAAATCCTTTGGTTTAAGATTTCAACTAGTCTTCAGTTGGTTATTCAGGCTGCTTGTTCTATGTTTTAGTTGTAATTCCACTTTGGTTCTGGATGGAGGTAAGTGTAACAATCAACTAATTCCATTGCCATCTTGGATCAGATCAACATGAACTAAATTTTTAATGGCAGTTAAAACATTACTGTTTCCTTAGCATTTCAAAATGACTAATTTTAATAATCATGTATTAAGTGATACAGAAGTCATTCACAAAAGACCACACATTATATAATTCCATTTATAAGAAAAGTCCAGAATAAGTAAACCCATAGAAACAGAAAATAGATTAGTGATTGCCGGGAGCTGAGGGGAGGAGACAGAAGGGGAGGGGGAAGGACTGCTAGAGGGTAAAATAGATTTCAGAGACGGGCTAACATCTACCCCAAAGTCCACCCACTCATCCCATCCCACAAACTGTTCTCTAAGCCCCAATTTTCTACTCTTTTATCACCAACCCTAGCTGTTATTTGCAGTATGTCATACAGATATCAACTTCATTCAGTCCTTCTGAAAATATAGTTAAAATATTTATATTACCTGCACATAACTGAATTAAAGCCTTGGTTGCCTAACTTCTTCTCAGCTATCCATTCTACAACTAGATGGATCTTACCCCAATCTCTTTAGAAAACAAAACCAGAGAAGTTTTCTATAGTAACAAACTGAGTACTAAGTACATTCACTTAACAACTGCTGCCTGCCCCCTTTTCTTGCATCTCTCCAGTATCTTTTCCTTCACAAAAAGCATGCCCAAGACTCATACAAAGTTGTTTAAAAGCAGAAACTTAAAACTATATAGTTATTTAAAAAAAAAACAACTAAATTCTGAGTCAGCACTTACATAGTTGTATTACTTTCAATCTGCTCCTATTCAGTGGACAGGTGGGGCGGGGGGGAGAAAAGACCATGAGCACAAGGTACCAGGCTGCTTACCCAGTCTGGCTCAGCCAGGGCAGGGTACACTACACTGGTTTTTAGTATATTCACAGAACTGTGCAGATATCACCACTATGTATTTGCAGAACATTCTTGTCACCCCTAAAGAAAGCCTGTAACCATTAGCAGTCATTCGACTTTTGCACTGTCTCCTCCCCTCAGCCCTTTGGCAACCACTAATCTACTTTCTCTTTCTATGAATATGTCTATTCTAGATATTTCTTATAAATAGAATCACACAACATGTGGTTTTTATGACTAGCTTCTTTCACTTGGCATACTATTCTTATAGCTTATATATTTTTGGAATTCAACATGAACTCCTGCTTGGGAAAAACATGATACTTCATCCAAAAGTGAAAGTCTAATAGTCTCTAGCTAAATAAATTTAGAAAATGGAAGGGCAAAGCAAAACCAATTAATCAATAAATAAACAACACCTACCTGACTCCCAAGAAGTTATAGCAGTGGTGGGAATTAAATTCACATTTCAAATAATGCTCAAACTTAATATTTGAAAAAAGTTAGTTAATTCTCATACAGAAATGGCATATTTTTATTTCCTCAACAATTTTCATATGGAGGGGGGAAAAACTACCACCA